GCGTTTGAATGGATGAAATCACCTCTGTCTGAAAATGTGATGTCATCAGGTCACGTGCACTGATGGTGGCTGTCTGGTTGCAGTGTAAGGTGTATCTGGTGGAGGACGTGCTGATGAACTTCCTGCTGGGGATTCTGGAGGGAGGAGGTTCGGTGGACGAACACCCGCTCATCCAGCAGCTGCTCGACCTCTTCTGGCTGCTGATGGAGGTAAATCTGCACGCTCGGCTCACTGCTCCAACCGTGGCGCCCCACCCGCCACCGCAGGCCTAAACCCAAAAACTGGACTGTGCGTCCACAGGGTAACGGCAAACACGCACAGAAATGCAAGACGTGTAAACAGAAGAAGAACCGGGACGCGCTCAGGTTCAGGGGCGTCTTTTAAAGTTGCTGCATTTATACCTGGCCTTGTGGACCGTCACCTTAACACCTGTTTACCTCATTGTTGCAGCTCCGCCTCGTGTCCGACTGTACAGCTGTGTTTTCATCATGACTTCCTGTTTCGAGCTAAAGTCACACCAAAACACGAAACGCAGGTTTTTTACCGTGAAAACCACGAACGTAACAAATCATTTAAAAATTTTACATTTCCAGAACGGTCTGATCAGCTGCTCGTCGCTGATGAGCTGCGGTGAAGCTCCTCTTCGGTTATTAAAAGCACGCATCACGACCTTTAGAATACCTTTTGTCGAGGGTCAGTGTACGCGCACACCTGTCTGTCCAGGTGTTTGTGTGTTTCATGTTTTCTTCAGTTCGAACTTTAAATTTAAATTTAAATTGGTGATATTTACTGCAGAGCATCAGGATGTTTTTCTGGAGTACCACAGCCTGAAACCTCTCTGTCCTCTGTTTGCAGGACCACGAGGTGAACGAGTGTCTGAAGCAGCTCATGATGTCCTTACTCAGGGCCTACCGCTTCTCCCCCATCATCCCAGACTTGGGCTTCCAGGTAGGACAAACAAACGGACACGGCGCTCCACAGGTTATATAAGATTAGGGGGCGGGGCCTGCAGAGGGACCTCACAGACACAGGAGGTTCATCTTCAGAGACCAAACTTTAAATGTTTGTGTGTGCAGGTGGCGACAAACTTCATCTAAAATCTTTTTTTTCATGTCACGTGTTTCCAGATGTTCTCCAGCTGATGTGCTTGTGTTTCAGATCCACTACCTGCGGCTGACCACGGCCATCCTGCGCCACGAGAAATCCAGGAAGTACCTGCTCAGCAACGTCTTATATCCTTCAGCCATGAAGCGAAAGCGCTCTGTGACATTTAAACCGCTGTCGCGGCGTTCTCCTTAACCGAAGCTCACGTTCGACGTCCTGCGCTCGGTCGTGTTCTTTTACATCAAGACTCCTCTGAGGGTGAAGGAGGCGGGGCTAGAGGAGCTCATCCCGACCACCTGGTGGCCCACGCACTTCGACAAAGAGGTGAGAGAAACCGAGGCTCTGCCGTTTGTCTCCTGACGAAATGTTATCGAGTGTG